ATGTCCCACTCTCTCCCTCTCTCTTATTTATAATATCAGTACATATATTATACACATACATATATATACACATCCACATATATTATTAATAGCATATAGAAGCTTGATTTGTTAGAGATGTGATATGTCTGTGGCTATCTTATACATACATAATCATATCTCTGGACAGAATATATATATATATATATATATATATATGTATATGCAATATATATATGCGTTTTCAATAATTATTAAAGCCCACGGCCCACTTTACAGAAAGATACCCTGACTCGTATATTTCTTTCCTTTATGATAGGCCCACAAAACTATTATTATTCTCAATTTCCCCATGATTTATCATTGTTTTTTGTTTTACTATTCATCAAATCAAATGTGTCCAAATAAAACAAAACTAAAGAAAACAAAAACAAACTCTTAATTTCGGCTGATTTTATTAGACCTTTATACTCCCTCGTTATACGACATATATGATATGACAAAATGTACTAAAAGAACAGGTATTATTGAATGTATATTTAAGTAAAAGGTACATTAGATACCGTAGAAGATCATGTCTACAAACTATATAGGCTTTTATTGGACGTGAAAACAAACCTATATTTTTATTTTTCTGTTTCTATAGGATATTAATACAAATTATATCCCCACAAGCCACAACGATGTCACATGTAGCTGTTAATATTGCCTAGTACATTAACCAAAACACAAATAAAGAGAATCAATGCATAGATCTACCTCAATCTAGTAGCCTATGTGTTCACATAGTGTGGACGACTAACAATAAATTCATTTTATAAAATCGTTTGCAAACAATGAATTCAATGGCTGTCAGGGAAAAAACAAGGCATTCACTTTTATCTACTCCAAATTTTAATATTTACGAATGTCATATTGATATCGATCATTTTGACAAAATAATAATGAAAATATCCGAGTTTGTCTTATAAATGATATAGAATTTTCAGCTACTTGAACTAAAATGTTGACACGTTGAGTGTCAAAGATACATCATACATGTATGAACGATTATATCTATCCAACTATTTTAGATTAAATAGCTTGAGTTTGAATGCAAATCAAGACTATTCTTGGGTAATGAGTAAATATCATGAATACTATAATCATCACTGACATAATATGAATTCAACTCTAATATCAGATACAACGTTATTATTTATTTAGGAGATAAGGATTTACAACTAAGCTCATCCAAAGGTTCTAGATATGTCTCATTTAAAAAATCGCAACCTTGGAATCGCAATCAAATACGAGATTAACGAACGTGGAAAACATCGGACGGTATCGATAGAATCTCGATTTGTGAGGTTGTCCAAATCTTATTAGGCTTTCAAGATATCCGTTATTAATCTGCTTACGCGGCATTCACGTATTCGTTCAATGTGGGGGCCATGTGAGCGACCTGATAGTGGTGGATACTCGATGTCTTCACGAGATTTTATTTTAATTTGTTTCAACGTGGCAATACACTTGTAAGTTTTTTTTTTCTTTAATATAAATGGATTCGACTCGAGCAGTGAATTAAATATGAAATATTCCACTGCAAAAGTTAATATAAAAGTGTATTTGTATATCTCTCAAAGGATAAATATAAAAGCGAGAGCAATTTTTTTTTTAATTGACAAAGCAAAAGAAGGTTGAGCTTAACAACTTCAATACTTTGCTATTCTTGTATATATTACCAATCAATCTAAAGTCTAAACTTAGCTGAACATTTTTACTGCAGTTTCACTTTTGCTGATGAATTTTCAGCACTTTGTTTCATTTTTCAGCACTGTTTCATTTCGTTGAAGGCTACTTGTTGTACTCTAAAACGAAGTATGTGTTTGTTTTCTTGTTGTTTACGTGCCTACCAAACACAACGGGCAAAAATATTGTTCTACGTAACTAATGTATAAGGAAAGTATTATATTAGCAAAGTTTCCAATGACAAATTTGAGTAATAGCAAAACCATAAAATGTTATCTAAAAATATGTCCTTAATTTAACAACAAGGAAATGTCGAAATAGGTAAAATTAATCAAGTCTTGTAGGTAAATGAAGGGTAGTATAAGAAGATAGGTTGGGGACAAATTAAAGCGTATGGTTAAATTATTGAGGAGGAGGAAAAAAATCTGAAGGAGACGACAAAAAAAGGGACAAAGGGAAACACGTTAATGTACAAATATAGTAAGGAGTCAGGAACTTAGGTACGATGTCCATACGTTTTGCGGTCCAAAGACTTTCCATTTTTGTAAATCTTTGAATTTAACCCCACTTGGCTTCCCAAACATCATTCGACACCGACGACACATACACACAACTTATTTCTTTTAATTAAGTTTTAATTTTAGTTTTAGTTATTTGTTGGTACTATATCGAAACCACACCCAATTTTTAGTACGGTCCCATTTGCAATAATTCACGTTAGTTAATGGAGGGACCAACGAATTATTCCAAACTTTCAAGTTTTCATCAATATGGGAATCGTTTCCTTTTTTCACTTTAATTTTTGCTTTAATTTTGTTTCGATGTTTCAGACAAAATAAACAAATAAGATGATGGATGATGGGTCGGGCCTAATTGAGGCTTAGGTAAGAGATGCATTATGATTCTTTCGATTTAAGTCTGAAGAAAATATCTCATTAAGGGTAGTTGACAAACCATTTAAAACGACAAATGATTAAACTACAAGAAACTGCTGTATTTCATTAAAATAGTATATTTCATATTTCTTTTAAGAGGAACAAACATGCATGTAAAATGTTATGAAAGAACGGGCGTGGAAAGAGACTTTAGTCTAACGGGTAATTAATCTAATGATTAAAGAGTTTCTGCAATCATAAACTCAAAAACTTTGAAAAATAGTTTTGAAATTTATTGTCTAGGCATCAAAAACTGAAAGACTATATGTAATATGATACTTTGTAACTTAAAAAAAAAAAAGTTACTTTGTAACTTCAAACAAAAATATGTTACTTTCTATTATTCTATATCGAGATTCTATGTGTTGCGGAATCATCCACTAGATCAATAGATTGTTCTCTGCATATAGCGACGTGGACGAACATTTTCGGACAAGTGGCTTTAGCCATCTCTGATAGGTTCAGTGTGTTGTAGTTCGACCAGTAGCGCCTTGCCAAAAAATATGATATAATGTGTCTTTTCCTGGTTTTGAAGTAGAGAAAAACAAAATGAATAAAATGTAAACTTGGTAAATTGAGTTGTTGTTGTTGTGTGTTTTTATTCTAACTTTAATATCTCCGAAAGAGATCTCATTAGAGCATCCGCAATGCAGTTTCTACAAACGTCTTTAGTAATTTTTTTGTTTAAAAAAATGAATGCAGAAGAGAAACAGACTGAAGACGTTTCTTAAATGAGGACTGGTAAAAACATTTTTTTTTGGACACGTGGCACTTTTAATATTAAACAAATAAATAAAAGATTAAAGTGAATTTCTGAGTTGCGGATGCTCTAACAACTTTGGGAAAAATATGGAAAATGCAAACAAGAACGAATAAATAACAACAAAGTGAAAGACATTATAGGCAACTTCCGTTGAGTACAATGAATGGCGTTAGTAATTCAAAGTATTGACTATTGAATCAGATTCAAAGTTTCGTTTTACACCTTTTTGGAACAAAAATTTGTTTTACACTTAACAAATAAGTATTGGTCGTTCTTACTTTTTTTCGAAATATTCATGAATAATGGAATTATAGTCAGATGATGATGACATGCGATAACAATAATTAAAACTCGAGAGAGGTTAGAATATAAATTCTGGTTCGTAGTCGTTTTATATTTAAATTAAACTGTCCAAATTCGACATATAAATTCGTTTTTAATTTTAGTGAAAAATAAGTTAACAATTCTCTAAAATTTGAAACTTTATATAATTTATAAGAATTCTTGTGTCTGGATTTTATTTGAATACATCAGAATTGTAGTTAAATTTAGATATTATTCATCATTGAATTACGCCCTCTAAATTTAATGTATGTTTCAACATCATAAGATTGATACGTATGGTAATCAATTAGTAAAAGGATTTACTTGGCGGTGAAAAACACCTACTCGCTACTACTACTGTGAATATATGTGTAAATTGACGAAAAACTAATAGAATAGCAAACAAACCAAACAAAATTATACCTCATGTTTTTCTTGGGGGTCAAGAATACATCATGTGTTTTTAAATCACAAAACTAATATAAATCTTCTATGTTTTTAAATTCTACATCAATGCATAGAATATTATCTCTTCGACAGAATTTTTCTTTCGTTTTCCTTTCGAGAAGCAAAATTAATGGATATATTCATAAAACAAAGTTAACAAACTAACACGTTTTCTAAGTTGATGTTATGATTTCTTGGGATTTTAGGGATTGGATACGTCCTAGCGGATAAGCCTTCAAACTTTGACCAATTGTTATGAGTTTCAATTACGAAAAATCGACTAATTTAAGTTATAAATATTATGGAAATTCTTATATACGTTTCCTATTTAGGGAATTGCGTTTCATTTTACGGTCATATTCAAAATGTTTATAGAAAAACCTCTCAAACTAAAAGAAAATTCTAAAGTTTCAAATACGAGTATATATTTACAGTTTAAAAATACTATTGAACTATGCTTGACAAAAATGTGACAAACAGAGAAATATCGATTAAGAATCATCATGATTTGGTTCTAAGACTATGTTCAACAGCAGATTTCTCCTTTTCAGTTTCAGGCCTCTTAAAAACCGGTGACAAAACAACGAAACAGTGATTAATTATACTTCGGATGAATGCAATTTCTCAGCATATGTGTCCGTTCTTGACACTAATCAATACCGACAAAGTTAACAAAAATGATAGCAAGCAAGAAATATAAAACTTTGTCGGTATATAGATCATAGATTTCATTTCACGGATATATACCGGTTCGGTTTACGGAATTATAAACCTGTTCGGTTTAGATGAATTTTAAAAAGATGACGAAAATAGAAGATACTAGTCACATGCTCTTCGCTTTTCCCAATACAAACAATGTTGAGTAGCGGCTAGAGCGGTGGTGACACTGCACAGATATCTCCTCCTATAATCACTTCCTCTCTACTCTTACTTCCGGCGATCTCTCTCCGACGACCAATGGACGTCGTTCTCCACGCTACTCTACCCTCCATCACGCGCCTACGCGCGTCATCCTCTGTTTCTTCGTCGTCTCTTCTTCCGCCGAGATTTCTCGCCGTCCGGCCCGGCCACCAATTCACCTTCTCTCTCAGCTCCCTTTCAAAGTCTCGGAGTCCTTCAGCTTCTTCCTCCGTCGCCACGTTGATGGCGAATTCGTCTTCGGTATGCTCCCTCACGTCTGATTTTCAGTGTCAAAAGTCAGCTATATCTATTTTGGGAAAGTTTTTGTTTCCGATTCTTTACAACAATTGAATGTATGTTAGCTTAGATCAGACCTGTTTAAGTTTCATATCTGAAGGTAGTGGTAGAATTTGAAGAAGCAAAGTCGATTTGAGTGGTGAAATTATGGCCCAATTCCTGAATTGGTTTGTTTCACTTGCATGACCGGAGATTTTGTGAACATGAGCACTCCCTGATTCGAAAAATCGATCACTCTTGTTTTGAGATTTCCTGAATTTTGGGTTTGATCCTCGAATTATGTTGACTTAAGTGTTGTGCAAGTAACTAGGGGATCTATTTTGAGTGTTACTGTAGCCAAGAAATGGAGTGTACACTGTTGGTGAGTTCATGACTAAGAAGGAGCACTTGCACGTAGTGAAACCAACAACCACTGTCGATGAAGGTAGGTCTTTCTCATTCTCTAAAGTCCATCAGGTTGCTTGAAAAACGTTACTTTTTTTTTATCTCTGTTTTTCCCTTGTCTACAGCTCTGGAGATCCTTGTGGAGAACAGAATCACAGGATTTCCTGTGATAGACCAAGACTGGAAATTGGTTAGTATCCACTTCAGGTCTTAAGTTTGGAAACCTACTCATGAGAATAGGTCAGTTTTGTTGGATGCTTAATGAGGGAATCTTTGTTGCCTGCAGGTTGGGCTTGTTTCTGATTATGACTTGTTGGCTTTGGACTCCATATCTGGTAAAATGGGCCACTTAATGTTTTTGGTTTCTTTTGCTTTCAAGATATTTTACTTCAGGTATTCCCTTTTGAAGTGGAGAAAGAAGAAAGCTACTTGATCACATGGTGACATAAAACCAGAAATATATCAAATCTCATGATGACCTTGTGTCTCATTCGTGGCGAGATAGCACGCTCAAATGTGAAATGATCAAAAAGCTTCTTCTCTCACCCCTGAAATCTCATTTGCTTGTTTCTTGCTTGTCTACTAGGTAGTGGAAGAACAGAAAATTCCATGTTCCCTGAGGTTGACAGCACCTGGAAAGTATGTGGCCCTCTCTTAATTTTCCTATTAACATTTGAACCTGAATTGCTTTTCAAAACACTCAATTCATATTCTTTTTTCTCACTGTGCTCTTTTGCCTAGTTCACATTATCAGCAGTAGTTAGTGTGAAATGAACTTTACAATAAGCTTGTTTTGATTGACGCATTTACCACATAATTTCAGCTAATTGTATTCAGTTCAGTTCCCTTTACAAAGTTATGCTAATGTTACATTCAGTTCCCTAGTTTGAGAATTTGAGTAGACGGAATTCTGTGCAAATGGATTCAATTTTGACATGATTAACGTTCTCATATGAATTGTTTCTGTAATTCTCTTGTTTTCGTGTCGTGTATAGTAGCATATTGATCCGATAAAAACATCTGCAGACTTTCAATGCAGTGCAAAAGCTACTCAGCAAAACCAATGGGAAGCTTGTTGGAGATTTAATGACACCAGCTCCACTAGTTGTTGAAGAAAAAACCAACCTTGAAGATGCTGCTAAGTTATTGTCTTACCTTTATTTTCAGTGCCTCACTTACTTTCTTCTCTCTTATCTAATTTTACATTCTTCTCTAACTTAAATCTTGTTGTTCTGTTTATCACTAGAATATTGCTCGAGACAAAGTATCGCCGGCTCCCTGTGGTAGATTCTCATGGCAAATTGGTAAGAGAGATTTTACCATTGACAAATCTCAAACTTAATTTGATATACACTATCCTATTCGCATCGCTTATACTTTTATATTGCCTGACAAAAAAGGTCGGTATTATCACAAGAGGAAACGTGGTTAGAGCAGCACTTCAAATAAAGCGCACTGGTGATAGGAACGTATGAGTAATAGATCAAAACCAAACAAGGAAAATAGCTTTACAGAGGAAAGCAATGATCAAACATTCTCAATTGAATAAAAGTGAGAGACCTAGTATTCGACATTGTACCATGTATCAGAATAAGAGCCATAACTTATATTACAAGAGTGTGCCTCGAAGTGAAGATTAGTAAACTCTAGAAGCATCAAAGATCTTGATAGCAGACGCAAGCAATTCAGCTTTTGTTGAACTCTAGTAGGTGGTAAGTGCACTACTTACATTCTTTTTCTGCAGAGAATCAGCTTCTCGTTTGTTTGATAGGTTAGGTTATCAGATATGCTTTGGGTATTTGATTCTCATCCAATCATGCTTTCGAAATTCTATTTCTTTTATAAAAGTACAAATTTTTTCCATACTTTCTACATTTGGTTAACCACCAAAGTAACAACCTTTTATTAAGGTATTTAATTAATTTTGGTTGAACCAAAATTATCTTTCCCTTACCTTCTTGGTTTCGTCCGTACAAACGCATATGCGCTTCGTTTTCCGTTGAGCAACATTTTCGAAGTTTGGACTTTCTTTTGGAGGCTGCAGAGATACAGTTGTGATCAATATTTTCCGTATGATATACCCAATTGATTTAAAAGAACAGAAAAAAAAAAGAGAGTTGCAGAACAAAGGAGTTAGTTGCGAGGTCATGCTCATCATTAGCTGTCTAAGGAAACTGCAGAAGAATCAAACTTTTGTAGTGGTGATCTCATAAAAGAAAACTCACCGTTGGATCTAAATTTTAACTGATTAGAAAGAAAAGAAAAAAACGGATTTGATAATGAGTTTTTTGGCTTGCTGTCATCGTCGACCCACGAAAAAAGAAAAAATTATAGAACAGGAGAAAATAATAAAAATGGCAAAAGGGCTTTAGTAGTTACGATAATAGAGATAGAGAGAGAGCTTTAGTTGTTAAGATCGGACAAGTAAAGACCCACTTACCATATTTGTTTTGTAGGACACTCTCTGTCTCTCCATCTCTCAAGTCTCAAACTCATCAGAACACTCACATCTATAAACCTAAGTCTTCTGCTTCTGCTGCTATTCACTCGCCACCGTGTCTCCATCCAGATTTTATCCATAATATCCCAACTTATACTAACTGTACTTGATCCCAAACTGAATTTAATTTCTATATTAAAGTACATTAAATAAACCAAAGACCAACTCATATGCTTTTGATCTTTTCGTTAACAAACTGAAAATTCCAAAAAATTGAGGGTTTTGTTGAACACAACCAAACATTGAACACTTTAATTTTGAGTAGGAGAGAACTATTCATATCATTGCACTACTAGTAAATTGGTAATCACAAACTCACGGAGGAGGTGCATGTTAGCAACCGCCGCGCATCATAAAGACAAACAATCTCTAAATCTTCCTTCTTCTACAACTTTTTTTTTTTTTTTCGGAGGAGAACGAAAGTAAGAAACTGAAAACAAAAAGCTGTTTCCTTTTCCCTAATCGTCCTCTGAAGTTTCCGGGTCGGGTAATTTGTTCAAATCGACCGGTTCCCATGACCCGTTACACCTCTTAAACCCTTCTTCATTACTACTACACTCGACATGATCATCATTAAGACGATAATCACTATGATCATCATCCACGTGATCATGATTACCACGTTGTTGATGATGATGATGATGATGATGACGACGATTCCCTCCCGCCGCTTCTAACGCATCCACCTGCGCTCCAACCTCCGCCGCTCTTCTCCTTATGTACGCCGCCGACATATCCCCACCACCGTTTCCTCCGCCGCCTCCCGCCACCGTAACACCGGCTAAAAGCTCCGGGAAGTTAAGCCTAGCCGAAGGACCACGTAGATAGAAAACCGCCGTGTCGTAAGCCCTCGCCGCCGCCTCAGGGGTGGAGTAAGAGCCAAGCCAGATCCTTGACCGTTTATTAGGCTCTCTTATCTCCGCCACCCACTTTCCCCACTTCCTCATCCTTATCCCTTTATACGGTTTCTCTCTCTTCCTCGTCGTTGCCGCCGCCGCCGCAACCGTAACCGTCGGAGTAGGAGCAACCGCCGCCACGTCAGTCGCTGTCTCCATATGGGTTTTCGCCGGAGATTACGATAATCCACGAAAGAACCAACCTTTTTCCCGATCTAGAGAATTTTAATCAGCGGAAAGATTTAGAGGCTGAAGAAGGAGAAGAAGATGTGAAATTGACGGCGAAGCGATTACATGCGGAGGGGAGATTTATGAACACGTGGGCCAAGAAGAGATGAGACGAACACGAAACCGCAAAAGAAGAGTTCAAAAATTCACCGACACTAATCTCTTAATAACTTTCGCATATATATTTTCTATTTTCGTTTTCTCTCTCCCTATATATATTCTAAGACAGAGACAACAATCTCATCTTCCCTGACAATAATATATACACATTTAGTTATATCGTATTTATTCTATTTATTTTGGCCGGAATTAAAATATTCATAGGACAATATATAATACTCATGCACCTTATTTTAATATAGCTCGTCGGTTCTTTTGCATTGGCCGGTTATAAGATTAATTTCGAAATATCAGCGTTATCATCATTGCCAGATTTTTCAGTCTAATTTTTATCCTCATAGATGTATCAACAGATTGTTGTAAGTTGTAATAAAAAAATTACCCTTTCTCAAAAAAAAAAAAAAAGATGAATTATACCGCATACAGTTGCTTAAACCCAACTACTATGTGGAAATGTATCGTTTTATTTTAGCATTACCATATTGTCCTACAGTGTAAATCCGTGATATACCGATCTCTTTCCATTATTTTATATTGCTTTTACACATGTGTGACAATGTCCAGTATATCAGGTATTTGTAGAAAACAAATTTTTTGTCCTATGAATAAGAAGTCTTAATATCTCTTGTCAATTAGTTTTTAACTTTTAAATGAACTTACGCTATACAATTCTATCATAGGCACAATCTGAGTTATATATTGGTCTATGTATATATACGTGTAGACGGTGTAGTTGAAATTGTCAAGTCGTCAACAAATTGAGAAATGCTTATATTAATTGAAATACAAGTAAGCAGAGGATATTTATTGATTGCATGGAATGGGAATAGTATTGACGTAGGGAAGTGGGTCGCTGTTGTGGAATTTGGGAAACAATAATAAATGGTTTTTAATTTAATTAGTTTAGCTTTTAAAAATTATACAGAAATGTTCAAGCAAATAATACGATTAATTTACCTTATTTATTGTTTGTTGCATTAAAATATTTAATAGGGAAGAGGCGGTAGTGACACGCGTGTCTCCTTCTGTTCTGGGGACAAGTTAGTGGGATTTCTGAGGTGTTTTGTCTTTTCTTATTTCCTAGTATGATATTTCTTCTTTTTCTTTTTTTTACTACTAATTGTATTCTCTCATTTTCTTATGTCAACCAGTTGATACATTTTTATTTTTTCAAATAATAGTAATATCTCACTTTTTGTTTTTAATATGTATTTTTCACATTATTACATTATCACCACAAATAAATATAACTCAAAATTTGCTTGTGGATTATAAGAATAAATTTGATGATAAGAGAAGTAGGATATATTTTATTTAGAAAGCAAAAATATTTAATCTTTGGAGTTATTTATTAGCATTATTCATTTATCAACACTAATAGTCTAGTATGGAGTGTTTACCATGCATTAACATTAATTACTAAAATATTGAGAATGTATGAGTAGTTTAAAATTATAGCGATAAAAATTCAACGTTGAAAATGATTATATATAAACACTGCAATTTAAAATGCCATATTAAAACGAAGCTCAGGTGTTTTAAGAAATTCAAGCAATTTATGTAGATGTAGTCTTAAAATTATAACATAGTTTCTACATTTTTACCAAATAATAGTTTTCTAAAAAGAAATTATCATATTCCATCCGTTTCACAAAGAGTGTTATTCTGGTATTTTTCACACTTATTAAGAAAACTATTAAAAATACTACTTTATCCTTTATTAATGCATTAAATAACTTTTTTCTCTAATTAATACATTAAATCAATATGAACAAAACTGGAATATTGTTTAAAATTCTGCATTGAAAATATAAAACGACACTCTTTCTTTATGAAACAAAAATAAAACTTTAAAACGATTTAAAATGTAACTAATAAATAGTAACTTAAAAAGGATAAATACATTGATGTAAGAATATAAAGTCTCTTAAGATCTAGCTACAGATTTAAAATGTAAAGATCGAAATGGTTTTATCCCCGACAATAATTGTAGATGTTGTACACTTGTACTCAATTCATAACACTATTTTCACACACATCTTTTTTTTGTTACGATATGAAAACTTACTAAACTTTCCAAATTTTATAAAATATTGAATATGATTAAATATCGAAACTTTGTGTGGTGATAGGTGATCCAACCTAAAGCGTTAATTAGTTCAACTGAAGACGTCGTAATCGGACTTCCAATTGTGAGCATTTTCTAAATAACTGCAAACAACAAATGTCATTAGTTGCAATAAACTCTCCAAAGTTTTGTTATAAAAATAGACGATATATAGAGATATAAAATAATTTCTTCAAAAAATATATACAATTTTAAACATCAAAAATTTGTAAAAAGTTTAGGTCGGTGGTCGGTGGACATTGGTATGGCGTTGGAATATGGCGTTGGAAATAGACGTTCCATCCACGCAATAACGATGTACTTATATGTTCCGATAGTGCCCTTCTAAACATCGTTCTTCACACGGGGATTTAAGGCCACAAGTGTAATTCCGAGTCGATATTTATTTACACTTTAACATTGTATTTGGAAGGCTAATTTTGTGATAATCTCAAAAGGAAACTAATTATTTGGACACACTGAAATGCCTTTGGAGTCTAATGCTTGAGCCACACCACCCATTAAGAATAACTATGTATTAAGCTGATTCTGTTTTTATGCCTGATTATTATAGCATCAAACTAAACAAAAATATTCTAGAGTCTTAATTCATATTTTTAGGAACTTGAATGCGTTGTAGATCGACTGTTCTATTGGAATCATGTGTGTTTGCGTTTTAGATTATTTATTAATATATTATGATAGCCTTCTTTTTCTTTTTGTCAAATTTTATTGTTATCAATGCTTATTACAATAGTTTTTTTTTTGTGTAAACAACCTATTATAATAGTTCATTATTAATACAGTATATTTTAGATGGTTAAATCAATAAATGAAAATACATTTCTTTCATGCAGGTATAGTTAATTTCTTAGTATGATTAATGCAATTTTGTAATGACAAAATCTTATAATTTCGTTTAAATATATATACGGGTTTCAAATCAAATATGTGGATCTGGTTTAAACGCAGAATTTCTATTTATTTTGTCATCAAACGCATATTAATTTAAAAATCAGAAATTCTGAAAACAAATTGAGTTTTCTCTGTTTCAATATTTTAAAGCAAAGTTTCCTCCATATATAATTTGTTTAGCCTGTAGAAAAAAAAAATAATTTGTTTAGCCAATACGTCACCAAAAGCGTTTTACGTGTGGGTATGTCATAGGATAGCTTGGATTCCTATCCAGAAAATCCAATAATAAGAAAGTAATTCATACGGAAAAAAATTTAAATAACAGACGTACGCGTAGGTCCATGTTGTACGTTAATAATATGTGACCGACATTGAGGTCATGACAAACGTAAATCGTATGGTTTTAGTTTGGATATATAAAGCCATTATGTACACCACAAGATCTTACTTTTGCTAGTATTATTTTCATAACACTGACAAAAGTATCCAACGCATGTTATTACAAATTATTTTTAGTAGGATGACTATTTCTCTAGTAAAAAAAAATTCGGATCCCTCATGTATACATAACTTTTTAGATTCATAACAATTTGTTGATGATAGTTTTTGTTGCGATTTAAGAAAAAAGTGTCTTATTGTTCAAACGGAACTTGAATTCGGATCGGAGAACGCTAGAAACCTTATGAACTACTTATATTATAAACTAAATAACCAATGCATGATATTATTATACAAAAATGATGTAGTCTTTAAGTTAGCAAAAAAAAAAATATATATATATATAGTCTTTTCTTTAACACTTATAGTTATCGAAGATAAGAGAATATTATTCTTTACTCCTTTTATTTTTCTATTATATTCTGTTTCACGTCTTACACTTGAGTTTTTATCATATGTATATAATTAATATTTTGTAAAGATGTATAAATTTACTTTTATATATAACTGTTTTATTTTCATTTTCTGGAAGAATTATTTTATTTATATATAGTTTACTTCTCTATGACAGTATTCTTTCCCAACTTAATATAAACACGAAGTTCTCTCTTTCTCGTAACGATCGATGAGTTTTGCAAACTTTACATACTTCTATATATTTATATATCAAAATATACATCCTATTTTTTTTTTCAAAATATCATACATTGGATAGTACTATTAATGAAAAATAAATTATGAGAAAAGATAGATATTTACATATAAACTAGTAAACTACTTTTAGAATTGTAAATGAAATTAAAAAATATATATATCATCTAAAAAAAGATAATCTAAAAATGGAACCGAAACGTAAAAAAGAACTACATTATATTAGTTTTAGGGGTTGTTTATATTATTAAAGAAAAGGAGAGACCTTGTCACTGATAATCCAGCTTTTCTGTCTGTGCTTATTAAACTATCCCTCTTACTATTCTACAATTTATAGATTAGTGTCTTTTATTTTATCATTTATAATTTGCCACTTGTTACTAGTTTAGTGCCAGAAAGAGATGATGCATGACATTTCTTATACTATATTATCATCTCAAATGACTGTTGTGTCTCTTTTTTTGCCCTCGTTTCTTTCATTTAAACAAAAATCAATTTCTCCTGTTTTCGAGGATATAGCCACCAATCATATCTTATACTCCACAACTTAATTAAGAATTTGTGTCCGGTTAGTAATAATTATAATTATAGCTAGAGATTTTATGTATAACTTGATTGGGTTGGCGTAGCATCCGACTACTTCAGAACTAAAGAAAAGTTTTCACATCATTGTCATTTTCTTAGTTTAATTAATATTTCGATATCATTTTCATATAATTATTTTGGATGCTTGTGAATAGTCAATTTTGTTTTCATATCCTAATTCTTCTTAGAATTAAGCCTATATCTTAACTAATAATGCAATAGGGATTAGCTGTGAACTGGTTGGCACATGAACATGCCAATTACCCCAAATTAAAAACTTTATTTTATCTTTTGGGAGGACATATATACAACAGAAGCAAACCCTTCAACCGATAAGGGACCACAGACATTTTTAGTTTACGTACCTTATTGATCTTCACAATTTAATAATATATATATATATATGTGGATCCATAATTTTACAGTGATGTAATTAGAAAGTTAATAGGACACTTGTGCATTTTATTCTCTCGAGTTCGATTCATTTTCTGGAAGCTGTATGCTATATACTCACATGTGTATGCATTAATTTCCATCGACATACACGATGAAATTGAATAAAATTGATATTTCATTTTACCGAACGAGATGTTATGAACCCAAAAGCTTGCAAATATTTTTAAAAAGTAATTCATTTTGATCAGTTTTGTTAGATAGATGCGTCGGTCGCAGTATACGCCAAGCCGTGGAAAAGGTAAAATCTATACGATTTTCATACACTGCTCCTACTGAGTGAGTGTCTCACGATCATCCTTAATATACATTTTTATACTCATGCTTTTTTACTCTGAGAGAGTTTAGCGTTTATAATATTGTAATCAAATTGTATAAGCAAAGTGACGTATAATACTGTAATCTGTTTCCAAAAAAAAAAAAGTTCAATAATCCTAATTAGTGATCTATGGAGCACAAAGCACAGTGACTTTATTAAAGTCGAAAGAGGAAAACATATTATGTGAAGGGTAAAGACGTCATAAAACTGTAACAAGAGTGCACCTGAAGGTCAAAGGCACATGTAAAATTTAATATGACTCGTGGGAGGTGTAATTTTAATGTTTTTTTCTAAGGAGTTGTATGTTTTACAATTATTGGAGCTGCAATTGTCAAAGATCGTAGGTAAAGTACATTTATATTGTCCAAAATCTGGTTATTCGGCGTTTCACTAGTTAACTTATTACATGCGACAACTGCATTATTGAAATTCAATTATTGACTTTTTATACACCTGCATCGTATATTTCTCTATAAGTATGAAACTCTATGCCACCTCTACCTTGAATTTCTAAATAAATTTATCTTAATGTCCCTAAGAAGGCATATGGTAAAATAATATTATCTTTTTATTTATTTATATAATTAGGGACATTGCAAAACTGGACTAAAAATCAACTCAACTTTTTCATTTTGTAAAAAGTTTAAGTTAGCTTTGGTTTTATTTCTAAAAACTTTCTCGAGAATCATGTTCAGTCGATGATATCTACTGTATATAGCAAATCGTGGATTTATTCATTGAACCACATAGCAAATCGGGTTATTACAAGGAAATATCTTTACTTATACTTAGTTAAAAATATTTGCATATCAATATTATTTAGTGATTATAGATTATGAACTAACTCTACAATCACCACAAAAATAGATATATAAAAATTAAAAGGCTTACAAGGCTTATCTTTTTCATATAGGATTCAAACCGAATGATCATGAAATTATGTTGATACTTCCACACATTATGGATGATGTAAAAAACATCTCGTCCCGAGAGAATCTTTAAAATTACCACTGCATATCTTTCAATTTTTTTTTTTTTTTTGGTGAACCATAACTTTCAATTTGTCTATGACCATCAAATAAGATGTGAATAATCCGTTCTCTTCTCTTTGAAACAAATAACCTTTCTGTCGGTGCTCGAAAAAACTTTATCATCTCCATATTACCAAGTTAATAATTGTATATGAGGAGCTACTGAACTTAATCACTTTCGGCCGTTATTCTTCAGTTTTCTGACAAATCTATCATACATGTTGGCCCAATATGAACAAATCGAGAATGTTAATGGACCTATCACGAGGTCATGTTTTCTCTAACAATTATGAATCCCGATACCAACTCTGGCCCAGTGAACTTAAAAGGTATGTTCAGCATGACATTTTAGCTTACTGAATTTGTATTAGTATTGTTATTGTATCATTATTCAATTTAAACTAGATAGAGTGCGTGTAAGAGTTATTGGCAAGAAAAAAAATACAATTTGTAAGAGGCTTTTTGTAGCTTAGACTCATTAGTAGTAGCAACACAAATGTGAGACATGAGAACTGCAAGTGACAACAGTAGAAAACTAAGTATTTTGGATTTCTTACAAACTATCAAGTATAGACAAAACTTGACAACAGAAGTTAAATAAAGTCAAGAGAAGCATTCAGATAACAAATCGTCCTCCCTCTTATCACTTATAACTCATTGACTATGATGTACAAATTCTTAGCAATCACTAATGTTCTGTGTTTGAGTTGGTATATGCATCGTCAAAAATTCATGATTTATAGGTTGAGCATTGTCTAGACTAGAGTTTACGCTTCTAGGTTACAACTCTAGATTGCTAATGAACAAATAATAAAGAGATATTTAAGCATATAGAAATATGTACAAGCAATAATTGTCACCGGTTAGACAATTTGGTGGCGCAGAGTTGTCAATGTTTATGCTTTGTGTGCAAGTGAAAACGAACCGATATTAATCTCTAAAACTTCCCCACCAAGCCGGTTTAATTATTGCCTTCACACATCCAAACAAACCGAGATCAATTTACATACCAAAATCCTCCAAACTGTGTCATTGACTCTTGTTCGGCCGGACCAAACTGTCATGTCGTTATTATGGGCCTTTCCTAATGGCCCGATATAGAAACCGTAATCAATCATTTGGTTAGTTTTTCCCAAATTCGTGTACATCCCTCGGTAATCACCTTTTTAATAGTCATTAACTAAAATGATATACATTTGCGAAAAAAACAAAGCATTTAAGTGTTTAGGATGTTAATAATCTTTATACCCGAAATTGCGACAAATTATTACCAAATACAAATTTTGACTTGAATAGAAATAGAGACATACTTGGGCAAAGAAAGTAAAAAAAAGACCCAAATTTTACTCAATTTTAGGGGGGTAATGAGGTTCTGGTCACCCAATATACAAACGCCACGTGTACATGGTTGTCGTTTTCTTCAGCTTTGTTTGAGCTTCGATGGCGTTGTATCGAAGCATCAGATGGTATGGTGGGAGCAAGAAAGGAAAGCGATAATCGAACTGATTAAGGTCGTGAAATCGAAGTAATCTCGTTGTTAATCAGATCTTTTGATAAGGAGGAAAGGGAAGCTGCAAAGGAGGAAGAAGAAGAAAGAGCCAAAGAGGTCAACGAAAGAGGATATGAAGCTCTCTGCGTTGCATCAGAGCTACTTAAATCGCCGGAATAACAGCTTCAGATCTCCGGCGGCGCTAGAATCTTCCGTCGAAGGCTCCGGGAAGTCTCTAGCTGCCGTGTTTTGGCTGGTTTTGCACTGTCTTTGCTGCTTGATAAGCCTAGTCCTCGGGTTTCGATTCTCCAGATTGGTCTTCTTCTTCCTCTTCTCTACTTCCTCCACAAACCTCTACTCTGCTCCGTTTCGACCCGACTTACCTCTCAAGCACCTCGATGTCCGCACAATCGGCCGTAATCTGGATCCCCCGCCGGTAATCGGAGCGAACACGACGGCGACGAGGAGCTCGCGTGTCGTCGTCGGGAGACACGGGATCCGGATCCGGCCATGGCCGCATCCGAATCCGGTAGAGGTGATGAAAGCGCATCAGATAATCGAGAGGGTGCAGAGAGAGCAGAAGACGATCTTCGGGATGAAAAGAAGCAAGACGGTAATCGCCGTGACGCCGACTTACGTGAGGACTTTTCAGGCGCTGCATTTGACCGGCGTGATGCACTCGTTGATGCTTGTCCCTTACGATCTGGTTTGGATCGTGGTTGAAGCTGGTGGTGCTACTAATGAGACTGGTTCCATCATCGCCAAGTCTGGGCTCAGGGCGATTCACGTTGGGTTTAACCAGAGAATGCCTAATACTTGGGAGGATCGCAGCAAATTAGAGGTCTTGATGAGACTTCAAGCGTTGAGGCAAGTCTGAAAAAAATCCCTTTTTTGCTTTGTTGATTTTGGTGGTATGTAAATTTGGAATCTTTTTGTGAATGTTGAGCGGAAAGTGATGTTCTTGTTTTGGTGTGATCAGAGTTGTGAGGGAAGAGAAGCTTGATGGGGTTGTGATGTTTGCGGATGATAGTAACATGCATAGTATGGAGTTCTTTGATGAAATCCAGAGTGTCAAGTGGTTTGGTGCTGTTTCTGTTGGAATATTGGCTCATTCTGGAAACGCAGAAGAGATGGTTATGTCGATGGATAGGAGAAAAGAGATGGAGGAGGAGAACTCTTCATTACCAGTACAAGGTCCTGCGTGTAACTCAACTGATAAGCTGATTGGTTGGCACATTTTCAATACATTGCCATATGCGGGGAAGAGTGCGGTTTATATAGATGATGTTGCTGCGGTTTTGCCCCAAAAGCTAGAGTGGTCTGGGTTTGTGCTGAACTCGAGATTGCTTTGGGAGGAAGCTGAGAACAAGCCAGATTGGGTTAAGGACTTTGGGTCGTTGAATGAGAATGAAGGTGTGGAAAGTCCTTTGTCCCTGTTGAATGATCCTTCAATGGTGGAGCCTCTTGGAAGCTGTGGAAGACAGGTTCTGCTATGGTGGCTTCGTGTTGAAGCACGCGCTGATAGCAAATTCCCTCCCGGGTATGCCTTTTTACTCCTTCCAAAACCAAACGGTATACTGATTGTCATCAAATATGTTAGTTAGGAGTGAGAAAACCATAGTGTTATCGACCATTTTGTGCGAGGCTGGTCCAGTTTCATCCTAGTTGATAATATATCCGTCTTTGGATAAGTGTCTCATGTTGAATTGGCTTGTGCATTCCTTTGTTGAGTCATAAAGCTTAGATACTGTTGTTACTGATCAGTTATTGGAAAGTCTCTAGTTCTTATATAGAATGAGTCTATAGTATACTCTTGTTCTTAAGTCGGAACAACCTAAAGACTAAAACACTATAAAAAAGTGTTTGTGTTTAATGAGAAGATCTCTTGGTATCATGTTGCCTAAATGATTTTGATGTTTGATTCTGTTTCTCTCTTTTTTTTTTTTTTTTTTCTTGTTCTCTGATTACAGATGGATAATTGATCCTCCATTAGAGATCACAGTGGCGGCTAAACGCACTCCATGGCCAGATGTTCCTCCTGAGCCACCTACCAAAAAGAAAGAACAAATATTGCCATTACCCCTACGCAGCAACGTCGTGGTAATACCGAAGCAGCAACAGCAACATTCAAGCAAAATCCGAAAACCGAAACGAAGAAGTAAGAGAAATAAACACGAACCTAAACCAACCGATACAACAACACAAGTTTCTTCATCTTCGTCTAAGCATCAAGAGAGAAACTGATAAAGATTAGAGATGAAGAAGATCCATTCTACTATTATTCATTTGTTGCCAAAGTTTTTAGAGAAATCTCAGAGATCATCTTCTCCTCCAGATACCGCAAATATTACTGACTAACGGAGAGAGGAAAAAAATTACGGGGAAAATTAGATTATGATGATGGAGCTCCCAACAAAGGTATACGGGTTTTTCAGGGAATGATGATCATTCGTTTTTTTCAATATTGTTTTCTTTTTGGGTCTTATAAAAAACTTATCTTTATTAGTAACAAAGATTGTTTGTTTCAATGTTCTTGAGGTTACCAAAAACATTGTAGAAACAAAACTTTGGTTGTATAGTTTTGTAAGCATATTTCTCAAATGATTTCTGTTTTCTCCACAATGAATCCCATAATCTTCCCAATTCCCATGGACCCAAAACTCCGAAGCCTCATTTCTACTTTTATTTGATTATACAAACCTTTGCAAGTTCATCTTTTAGATAAATTCCCTTCTTATGGAAGAGTTTTTTCCTCTCTCTCTTCTCTTATCCTTATCTTCAGAGAGAGAGAGTTTTTCTCTTCAATTTTGCAGTAAATTCCGATTATAATCGGATCTATCTTCCGGTTTACGGATAATAATTCCGACTTGATCAGATCTATGTTTATCCGAAGCTTTTGAAATCCTTTGTTATCTTTGTTGATTCCATTTTTCAAGCTTTCTCACTATTCCTTAGAGAAGTGATGAATTCTATTGAATTAGTGGAATCAAAGTTCTTTATGCTTTTGCAAAGGTTTTCTAGCTTATCGGATCTTTTCGGCTTAGTCCGGACTTCTCTCTTCTGCAGATCTGTTACGCTTTAGTATGAAGCGGCAAGGTACGGGTCCTGTGATGATGGTGAAAAGCTTCTTCTCCAAAGTTGGTATTGTCCTCTATGGCTGGAAGTTATAACTCCCCCAATACCCTAATTGAAGAGCCTTCGTTAAGGCAGAGAGTGAGGTCATGAAGTAGAGATGATCGAAACTTAATTTATGGAGGTGAAGAGATTTCAACCAATCGGGATCATGTTTAATTGATGCAGAATGAGAGTAAAAGTGATACATCAGTGCGCGAGGAAAACACACCATGATAAGCCCAAATTTGACGGTGAAAATGGTCGTCGGAAGTGATAAACGGCGGCGAATCGGAGACAGCAGCGGTGGAATCCATCGATTGAATTTCTGAGATTCTTCCTCATAAGCCACGTGGTTCTGGTTTTCTTCTCAATCGAACACGTGTTGTTAATCGTGTATATTTAGATGTATTCGTAATTTTATTAGGTCTTTTGGGCTGTGTATCACTTTTGTAGCCTTTTGGGCTTTCGTAAGAATTGACAAAAAAAAATTTCCCTTCTTACTTTTTAAAAAAAATTGGTCGCAGCTCGAAATTTGACCTTAAACTCAATTCTTTCTAATATTTGACTTTTTGTTGTGTGTGAGTTCAAATTATTTTGTCATTGATTATGTCACATCAATTTATCCGCAAATTGTTTTCTACTTTAATGTTAACCGAATGCCTAGTTTTTCACGTATACACAATTGGTTAGAAGCTCCGAGTGACGTTGATTATTTTAAAAAAATAATAATAATATATAAATATTTTAGATGAAGACGTTGGAAAAGATACCTTCGTGAGAAAGAATATTGGAAAAAAAAAACAAGAGAATCATTTATGTGAAAATGAAAAAGAAAACAGAGAGTTAAAAAGGGAGACAAAGACTGCAAACAGATTCATAACTGAAATAATGGAGGATAGGGCGGTTTTGTCAGAAGATCACATGACTTCTTTAACCACTTTTTCTTTGGTTTTTATTTTTATTTTTCCTTAGCAGATGGTGCGTCTCCTTTGACCATTTATTAATCCGGATCGGAATTAACCGGTTTCTTCGGATTAGTTTTTTTTTTGGTTCTTTGCTCATTTCTTTCTGTTAGGTTGATAAGATTTAGGCAACAATATGAACATGATAAGTTTTTATAAATTTATTTATGAAAATGAAACTTTTTCTGTACGTTTTTAACATTCTTTGGAAAAGTTCTAATTCCAATTGTTAAGCGAAAATAAAACAGCCGGTGAAAGTTCCATGCTTCGTAGCTGAGCTTCCCATACAAAATGATATCTCAAACTGAACGTAATTATAGAAAACAGAACTGGTCACCTTTAGTGGTCACATGTCAGGAACACGAGCGATACACTTTGTTCCTTAAACCTTATCAAAAGCCACCTCGGTTAAAACTTGATTAAAGACACCTCTTTGCCTCCCATATCCTCCAATCACCATTTTTTCAGTCTTCTTCTCTTTTTTCGTAGATAAAATTAGTTTATATAATATGCATATGAAAAAGGATCAAATCCAACGCTCAGGATGGGGCGCCGCATAATGACAAGAGAATCTGCCGTGAAATGGGAACATCGCATCCACCCATTCATTCAGGATTCTTCCATAAGAATCTTCAAAAAATATATGTATTTATATCTATTAAATAGAGAGCTCTATAGAGGTCTTTTTATCAGCAACTATTTATCGGAAAATAAAAGAGACCTGACTAAATTTTTTGGACCTAAAAAAACTATAAAAGCAGACCACAGTTTTGAACCATAATGTATATCTTCCTTATATTATCTTATCTTCCGATCAGAACAAGTGATAAAATAATACCTTCTGCTGGTCTATAAATAAATATTAAATATATTTATTTATAAAAGAATGATACAATTGTTTTTGCTTATTCCATACATAAATTAGATTATATATATATATATATTCATATTAATTGTTTTTCTAGCTTTCGTCCGTCTCATATTGATTATTGGAAATTGATGTAACGTAGATTCATAAACTCAGAGACATCCATACTCAAACCAACGTCAATATATATGCATGTCTGTGGATTTTAAGTTTGCTAAATCTTCTGTATTTCTACACACACACATGTACACACTGTGATAGTGTGATATATATATATATATAGGCAAACTTTTTGGTCAAAAAAAGAGGATATATTTTTTTGGGTTATAGGGTCTCCTTTGAAAGAAAAAAAGATATATATAGGCAAACTTAATTAATTCGACGTACAGAAATTACAAAACGAAGAAGATGCAGCCCTTTCGTAAAGATTGCTCGTCAAGTGACATCATTCTGTTCCGAATTACTGGCAGATGATTTAATGGTAGTCATGTTCCCATGGGCCCGGAACTGAAAATCTCACTATTTGCAACTCTGAAATTTATGGTCGGTATCCAATAACTGATGCGGTGAGAAGCGAATAGTTTGTTCAGTGACGCAAATTGTAAAAAGTAATAATAAACGGCTCCACAAAAAAAGTAGTAAAATAATAAACGGCTCACAATCGCATGAAATACTTTATTTGACTTCAACAATTATTTAAATAATAATGACTTCAACAAGTTAACAAACCTAGTTAAATTACATCGGGTTAAAAAGACAATTATTTGCATCACAATGAACATTAAACCAAAACCGTTGTACGTAAAATCAAATAATCACGCATGGGTGTTGGGTTGAGACGCAAAAGAACAAAAAATTACATAACTATGGTACTGTCTAAAATTCAAAATTTGTAGGGATATCTTCAAATATGAATACATTGATCAACTTCTAGTAAACGGATATATCTCGTGAATCTATAGATGGTGATGTAATTGCAAAACAACAAACCACGGAAAACGGGAAAAGAAAAACACAGCAAACCGCAAACCATCTTATGTTGAAATATATAAATAATGATAAATATTACAGACGAATATTACAGTCTACGAGATCATTTCAATCACAAAGTTAGAAAAGAATAGTAAACTATTTGAATTACAGGCGAATAGTTTGACCCCATACAATCTCTGAAGTTTGAATTTTTGTTTACGAAATACATGCTGTTGCAAGGGAAAGGATAAGTTAATTGTGTTCCCCAATTCTTTGTTTCTTGGTCGGCTCTCTCACAGCTTTCTGCTTAGAAAGATGCTTCATTCTTTGTTTTTCTTCTAAAACAGAATGCTTTTTTCTGGTAAAGGCATATCTAACCAGAATGGTTGAAATTTCATTTTTTTTTCCGTGTGTAAATTTTTTTATACATATGCGAGCTATATAACTTAGAAAACAATGGATAATTTGCTGATCAAACATGAAACAAGATAAAAAACAGCACAGTTTAGTTTCCAAACGAGGTGTGTGTATTTATGTAAAATTCTTACATGATATATACATTACATACTCTATACTTGGTGTATTTCTTTGAATCTTTCTTTATATTTATCAATTTGTATCATCATCATGTAAGTATTTGCTGGCGTTGAAACCGTTGGAGACCCAAAGACCGTTAAAAGGTTCAATACTAATTTTTGTTGAGAATTTGAACATACGAACAACCGCATTACTGAATCTAAGAACTTCTAATCTTTGTGCCAAACTAATCGCGATTCGAGCTGGTCATTTTGGAATAGAATGCGAATAACATAGACTTGGAATGAAAATGAAAACACACGATCTATTACCAAATCGAACACCTCGATGATAACTTTTCTCTAAAACTAATGATAACTTTTCTCGATACTCACATATTTTCTTTCATTCCTATTCCGGTTTAGCTTTAATAAACCAAAAATCTTCGATTATAGCTGGAAAACAGAGAGCAACTTTCAACAACTTAATTAGACGGGTAAAGCAATTTCTTTTCTTTTTTCCCGACAGCAAAGCAAATTTCTTAACTAGTAAAATTAATGAAGAAATTAAAGGATCATTATTATTTATTTAACTAAAGATTTAAATCCCTTCAACACTAAATAATCCAACTTATATAAGACATTATTTTCTGGAGACGTCCAATATGAAACGATTTTTTTTTAACATCTTAAAACGATAGAAAGACTTTTTCCAGCATAGTTTCTATGCAAGGAAAAGATGGATATGCACAAGTATAAAAGTGGCTTAGTTTGTTTTTTGGCTAAGCAAGAAAAAAATCACAAAAAGTTCGACCCATTAAATTCAAGTATGGTACAATATTGTATCTGAATATAAATACATTATATTATTTTATAGACCTGTGAATATTTTTTATTATTATTATTTTGAGATACAATCATCGAAATTATAAAAATTACTATTATTTATAACGTTATAAAAATACATAAATATCCCCGGCCTATTTTTACACACGTAAATGAAAATTAAAGATATTATGAATTAAAAATTTAATTCCATTCACGAATCGGAATTAAAAAAAGCCATTTGAATCGTCCACCATCTTGCATGCCCATGAGTTCCCTTTATTTCATAATAGAAAAGTATACCAACTTGAAATATTAAAATACCAAAACTTTGGTTATAAATAGTTCCACAGTTTTCTCATCCCTCCAAAAAATCAAGCCATTCAACTATCAATACTAGAAAACCAAACAAACAAAATATGGCTTCCTCTCCAAAAATACTCTCTTTACTTCTCTTATACGTCGTCATTTCATTAGCCTCCGGTGATGAGTTCATCATCAATAACAATCATCTCAATCTCCCATCGGACGGCTCGTGGAGAACCGATGAAGAAGTGAGGTCCATCTACTTACAATGGTCCGCGGAGCACGGGAAAATTGACAACAACAACAACGGTATCATCAACGAACAAGACGAAAGATTCAATATTTTCAAAGACAACCTGAGATTCATCGATCTACACAACCAGAACAACAAGAACGCTACTTACAAGCTTGGTCTCACCAAATTCGCTGATCTCACTAACGATGAGTACCGGAGTTTATACCTCGGGGCAAGAACCGAGCCCACCCGCCGCATCGCTAAGGCCAAGAACGTTAACCTGAAATTCTCAGCCGCAGGAAACAACGAGGTGGTGCCAGAGACGGTTGATTGGAGACAAAAGGGAGCCGTTAATGCCATTAAAGACCAAGGATCTTGCGGTAATTACTAATTATGCTCTTTTTCTTTTTAATCTATACTAGTATTAACGTAGATAATTTTCTACCTTTTATGTGTTGAGATTTGCAAATGTTATTGTTTCATCTAGAACTAAATACACTAATTTTAGCTAGTCGTGTGTATTGAGTACTGATCTTATATATGTGTATTGATGTACGCAGGAAGCTGTTGGGCGTTTTCGACAGCTGCAGCAGTAGAAGGCATAAACAAGATCGTTACAGGAGAACTCGTATCTCTGTCCGAACAAGAACTTGTCGACTGCGACAGATCCTACAACCAAGGATGTAACGGCGGTTTAATGGACTACGCTTTTCAATTCATCATGAAAAACGGTGGTTTAAACACCGAGCAAGATTATCCTTACCGTGGATCCAATGGCAAATGCAATTCTCTCGTGGTAAGGATATAAACAAAAACAGAGTAAACAGAGTCACTCTGTTTATTTACATTTTAAGGAACTGCATTACTGAAAAATTCTGATTATTTGCAGAAGAAGAATTCGAGAGTTGTAAGTATTGATGGGTACGAAGATGTTCCTACTAAAAACGAGATGGCGTTGAAAAGAGCAGTTTCATACCAGCCTGTGAGTGTCGCCATTGAAGCCGGTGGAAGAGTTTTCCAACATTACCAATCGGTAAGTGAACCGACCTTAAACCGGGTGTTAGGTGATAAAACCGGTTTTTGGATTTTTAATAACCGGTTTGGTTATTTTGTTGGCAGGGAATCTTCACCGGAAAGTGTGGTACAAATATGGATCACGCGGTGGTGGCGGTTGGTTACGGGTCAGAGAACGGCGTTGACTATTGGATTGTAAGGAACTCGTGGGGTCCACGTTGGGGAGAGGATGGTTACATTAGGATGGAGAGAAACTTGGCTTCGTCGAAATCCGGTAAGTGTGGGATTGCGATTGAAGCCTCGTATCCGGTTAAGTACAGCCCAAACCCGGTTCGTGGAACCAGCAGTGTTTGATGAAGTTAAAACAAGAAAAAAAATGTATTTAATCTCTCATATTATTATTGTTTGTATGTATAGTATTTCACAAAATTAAAGTCTTTGATTCACCATAAGGATTTAATCTGTATAAATCCCTATGTCAGTCAATTTCTTTTCACTCAAAGAAAGATTGCTTGGCTTGTTTATGTATTAAGAGAAATATAATAAAATGATATATTTCTCAAGAAGAGCATTGGTTTTTGGCTAGTTAATTTTATTTAATCAAAGTAACGCATTTTTTTTCATTTTAATTCTAGACTATTAAATGAAATTGAAAACACACGATCTTTTACTAAATCTAACACCTCGATTTAATAGTATCCTACGTCTCGGACATGTTTTGCTTCTTCTTCTTCTTTAGACTGTTTTTTTTTTATAAAACCAATATATAAAAATAAAGATTCGAACCCATAATCATACCAACATACAAGAACTACTAAACCAATTGGGCCAATGTTTTATTTAGCTTTCTTTAAACTGAAACCACTAGTCTTCAAGTTGGTTCTGCCAATATGTATATATCATATTCTTTACAATCAACAAAAAAGTATACTTACAATCAACAAAAATGTATACTTAGAATCAATAAACTAAATTTCGGCGGTGAATCAGCCGTCAAATTTTGAACATTCATAAAGTTGTTTATTCATTGCCAACATATAATACAGTAGAATGTGTTCAGTCAAAACCACTAAAAATGGGCAGAACAAAGAAGTTAAAAAGGTGAAAAGATCTGCCTCAACCCAAAAGTGTCTCCGATTTTCTTTTTCTTCGACTTCATCCCTCAAAAATATCCAAGAAATCGAAACCGGAAAAAAAAAAGGAAGACGAAAAAGATGGAAATGAAATCAACAACACCGAACGATCATTGAATATTTTACTATCTTAAGAGGATTCGACGTGCTGACCTGAAGGAAAAAAACTTACTTCGTCGAGAGTCAATCACTATTCTCCATTGACGGTGCTTTTTTCCCATATCGCTATCAGAAGCAAAACAGAGTATAAAGTTAGAGAACCTTTTACATGTATAATAACAGGAAGGAAAAAAAAGAAATGCACTGGTACCTGTTTCCCGAAAGAGAAGGGGACGTATCTGTATCTAATCATATGTTGAATTTGTTTCCTCATTGTGAGGAAGAAAAGCATCACCCAGTAGAAAAGAAGTATTGGCCAGAAAACAGGTACATCAAATACATCGAAGAACGTCATTAGGAATCCGATCACAAAAGCTCTAGTGATCGATAGCCTTGCAAAAAAAAAAAAAAAAAAAAATCAAACGAATTCAATCAAATTACACATCCTTATGCAGTCTTCATAAAAAGTGAAACATTGAAAATGAGAAAGATGTTTCTGGTTTTACCATTTTGAGGCAGATGCATGTTCTAGTAAAGTAAAGTTTGGAGATTAGCTCTTTCTACATTTGGAATCGAAATCATATTTCAACTTCTATTTTACATGGTTACTCTTACTCAATTCTTGCAATCACATCAAAGAAAAACCTCCTCATCACTTACAGTATCTATATCATATATTGTAGATCAAATCCAAAGAGCTACTTTACAAACAATTCATCGCAGATTCAGCCATTAACTCGACTGTAACCACTGATGCAAAACCTTCAATTCAAATGAATAAATCGAGTCTAAGCGAGTATCAAATTTCACAGTTCAATCTAACAGGGAGCCAAATCAACGAGAGAGATCAAAATTCAAAGGAAAGTGAACGAACCAGAACTTGAATTCGGGAAGACGGCGGACGAATGGTCGGAATTCATCGGATCCACGAGTAGGAAGACTTCCGCCACCGAGAGAAGCCTCTGGATCTTCCTGAGGAGAGAGGAAAGCGATGAGGAGATTCAGAATGTAGATTCCTATAGCGTATGTGATGATGTAGAAGCCTTGGACGAAGTAGACGCGGACGGCGTAGATGAGGACAACGACGAGGCATGAGATCCAACGGTAGAGAACGTGAGGAACCGTTTTATCGAGCAGATGCTGTTGCCTCTGCGACAAGGCGTGGGTCAGCCGAGCAACGGCGTCGGCTGGAGACGACGATGAGACGTCTTCGCTCGATTGAAGATTGTCAGCGGTGGAAACTGCCGTGGTTTTGGATTCCATTGCCGCACCACAGATAATCTCACACTCTCGCTCCCCGTGATTTCGTCTCTCTGGCTCTGAAACTTCGGCGGAGGAGACGGAGAGGCTGGATCGTGTTTCCTAAGTGTTTTTTTTATTTTTAATGGTCAGATTCGATCGTATTACATGCCGGTAGATCCGGTTTACGGCTGATTCGCTTGATTTTCAAAAACCGGAAAAAAATAATGTTGGGTAATCGAATTTTGTTTGTTTGTTTTGTACACCGAAACAAGTTTAGCAGCAATAAGATCAAATTGACTAACAAGAAAAACATTACTTAATTATTAGTAGACTTGACAACAGAGGAGTTAGGAGGGAATCTTTCAAGAAGAGCCAAGGATTCCTTCATCGTTGGCCTCTTTTGAGGAACAGGAGATGCACAGTTGTAGCCTAACTTGAAACAACTGAGTAAAAAATCTTCTTTGCCCTCTAACTCACTGCGAATCGCCACATCTGCCATTCTCATTGCATGGTGACTGTCCTCTACCGTGAGTCCAAGTCCTAGGCCAATCTCCTCGACGGACACGATCTTCCCCGTGAGAAGCTCGAGGAGGATCACTCCAAAGCTAAAAACGTCCCATTTTGGGCTCGGTTTAAGGCTCCGGAAAAACTCTGGTGCACAATAAGGCGAGAACGTACCAACCGAGCTTGGACTCGGGCTTGGCCCAGGGCCGATGGACGACAAGTCCCGTGAAGACGTTGTGGAACGCTTGCTACTGAATATCCTAGAAGACCCACCAGCTCGGCTGTAGCTTGTTTCACCTGTGAGAAGCCGTTCAAGTCCGAAATCACCGATTTTGGGCTCCATGTCGTGGCCCAAAAGTATGCTACTGGGCTTCAAGTTTCCATGCACGTGCTTCTTCTCGTGGAGATAAGCTAGCCCACGTGCGATGCCTTTTGCTATCTTGAGCCGAGTTTCCCACGGTAGATGATACGGCGAAGAAGACCCACCCTTTCCTGTCCAAAATCCAAACACGCCCCAAACTAATCAATACATATAAACATATTTTGATTTTAGCAGAGACGAAACGTTAAAAGACTCACGGTAACGGGGGTTGACAAGGCTGCCGTTAGGGACAAATTCGTAAATGACCAATTTCTCTTCGGTACCCCAATAGAACCCTCGGAGTCTGACCAAATTCGGGTGAGCCAATTTCCCAATGGCTCGAATGTTCGACTCGAAATCTTTAAACCGGCGCTGACTCAAACCGTTCTCGCCGAGCCGACGAACCGCGAAAACCGTTCCGTCCTCGACAACGGCTTTATACATTATACTCGAGCCGGTGGCTCCTAGAATAGAAGCCGAAGCTTTAAGCAGAGTCTCAATCTCCATCTCCTTGTCTCCATCAACTATCACTAACGACCCATTCTTGTTCTCTCCGTTATCTCCTGACCGTTGATCTGCATTGTAACCGCTTTCTTCGTCCTCCTCCTCTTCATCGGACGGCGTCGTCTCGGGCTCTTTTCGTAGACATGACCATTTCGCGAATCTTCTCGATTCGTCTGGTGACGATGATGGTGATAACGTAATTGTGTCCATCGTTTCTTTTAGTTGCTTATTGCTGTTGTAATCCACGCTTTTCTTCTTACTCTTGCATCTGTAGATATAGAGAAAAATCACGGCGAGAATTCCGATTCCGGCGATGTCTCCGATTACGATCCCAATTATAACCCCGGGTCGTAACCCGGTTCGTGGATTCGAGTCGGTTTGTTGCGTTGTTGGATTGGTAACCGGGTTTGAACCGATTGTGTTCGGTATAGCGGCGATTGCCGGTGTGGACGTCGGTGCGTCGGCGTCGGAGACGTTTGACGGTGATGAAGGGATTGAACATTGGTTTCCGGTCGGGTAGCCGCATAGACCTGGATTTCCGGAAAAGAAATCTGATTCTTGGTTAAGGAAGACCGGAGAATCCGGAATTGAACCGGTTAAATTGTTGAAGGAGAGATCAACGGTAGCGTTTCTGGGGAAATTGACACCTATGTCCTGAGGAATTTCGCCGGAGACTTGGTTAAACGAGACATTCAAGTACCGGAGACTCTCGCCGCCGAAATCCGGTGGCAGCGAACCATTGATGAGATTCGATGACAGGTCTAAGAACTGAACAGCTCTCCATCCGCCGGGAATTTCGCTGGAGAAGTAATTGTTCTCCAGAGAAACCACCGTCAAGTTTCTCAGTGTCACCAAATTGGCGGGTAACTTTCCCCCCAAGGCATTGTCAGAGAGATTTAGGGTTTGAAGGTTGTGAAGATCGCCGATTGCGGCAGGGACTTGGCCGGAGATCATATTACCGGAGAGATCGAGAAACCGGAGCTCTGTTGCGTTGAAAAACGAAACCGGTAATGGCCCATTGAAGGAATTGTTGGAAAGATCGAGACTTTGGAGGGTTTTGAGAGAACCCAAATCAGAAGGAATTGAACCCAGGAGCTGAGAATTGGGGAGAGACAAAGTCACGACTTTTGAGTCGTTATTACAGGAGACTCCACTCCAAGAACATGGAGTTTGGTGGCTGTGATTCCATGTCTGTAACAGAGACAGAGGATCAACTAGAACAGAGGACTTAAAGCTCATCAAATGCAATCCATCAGAGTTTAAACCAGTTGAACCCAAAACAAAACAGAAAAAGAAGAAAAAAGCTGAAACTATTTCCATTTTCATGGCTTCATCACTATTGTGAAAGAGAGACAAGATTTGAAGAGAGAGAGAGAGAGAGAGGTGTGAAGAGAGTTAAAGATAGAGAGAAACAGCTCATGTAACCAAACACACTCCCCTTCTTGCTCCCTAAATGCTCTCTCTCTGTCTCTGTCTGCAGAGTTTCTTTAATTCTATAATCAATACGAATACACAATTCTTGTTACAGTCTTCTTCATTTATTATACAAAAATCTGTTCCTTTTACAACTAATATATGTACTTTTTTTTTTCTCTCTCTCTCTCTTTCTTTACTGAACCGAGGAAACGAGTAGATTCGTTTAGGATTAGTAAGCTACAAGACATTATTTAATCTGCAGTTACAATTTTGCTCAAAGTTTTCATTTTCTTTTTATACTATTTTTCTCTTGGTTTTTTGACTTTTTACAAACATTCTCATTCTTCTGTGTTTGTTCACACTTATTACACAGCCAATATAGCTCGAAGAAATCTAGATCGAATAGTTTTGGTTCTTTAAAAATTTAAGAAAGAAGGCATGTTCTGTTTTTGATTTTCGAATATGGTTTTAATGTCTCTGCTGTTTTGCTTTTTCAGTGGATTTTTATTCTGGATGTTTTCAAGTGTTTTCCCCCATTAATGAGCTTCTTATTATTGTTGTTTTTGTTCATTTGATTGTGATTTTTGTAAATATTGGTTATTTCAACTGTCCGGAAGATTCTGCATTTAATTTCTGTACGAAATTATGATTTGTCTTCAAGCGATATGATTAAATGGAGGGAAAGATGAATACAACAACATTTAAAAGACATTCACATTCTTTATATGATTAAATGGAGCGGAAATTAAATTATCAATGATATAAGAATAAGACCCATTTTCTGCTCTAAACTACTAACAAATAATTACAAATAAGCTAAAAAACAAAAAGTTGCCAAAAATCCGTGGAAATATGTAATTGCATGCATTATATGCATATATATATAGCTAGATTTAGATTGTTATACGAAAATATCAGAAAACCAATTGAGCAGTCACAAAACAAAACTACTCGAGTAAAGACCAAAGCACATAAAAACAAACTGCTCGAGTAAAGACAACATGATAAAATCTTTAAGGACCGAATGAGCAGTCATAAACTTGCAAAACAACACGAATCTTCTTTGCGAGTAAGTCACGACGAGAAAACTTCGTCCATAAATAGTTTTAAATTGTTTTTATCATTAAACAAATCTTTCGAAGCTTATATATAATCATTTATTTTATCGTTTAAGATGTCTACAGTTATCAGAAATGACTACAAGATCGAGTTATGGAATGGTAAACAAAGTGTGCAGGGAATCCAAACATTATATTCTTATGCGGACTTTAGCTGTGGATAATTGAATATCAGTATTTCAATACCTAAGCGTTATATGTCTTAAAGCTTTTCGGATATTTTTGCGTTTGGGTAAGCACGAAGTGGGTAAATCGTATTTATGTGGCTTTGTGGCATCCCTAAGAATGTGTATCTATATGTTTTCAATAATTGGATTTACGGGTGCACACGTGGTCCATAAGACCATAACTCATCATTTTAGTGTCTTGCGATTCACCTTTTTCTGTTTTCCTTCTTATTATTTTAATATCTGTATCATTGAAATTTTTTTTTTTTTGTGCACCTATCTGTATCATTGAATTATAAAACGGTTTCTTTTGTAAAGTTGGAGGTGATCTTTACCCACTTCTTCATAAAATAAAAATGTTTAACTTGAAAAAGTTTCAAAAAAGTTTGTGAGATACACTTTAACTATAATGAGTCCAACAGTTAAAGCCACAAACCCAGCCTTGTTAGTTTTGTGGTGGGCCATTTATTTTCATTAAATCTTTTTCGGATTATAGAAACTACTACATCCAAGATTCCCAAATCTACAACTTAATGACAGAGAGAGAATTTGGTAACTAAATGGTAAATTCCATATTGAAACATCAAAGATCATGATTATATATGATAAATTTTAGTCTCTTTTGAGTATCAATTTGTATCTAATTAAAATAGCTATGATAAAGTTGGTTTTGTTGTCAAACTTATGTTTTGTGGATATTGCGTTCGTTTTGTCGTTTATGCTTCTAGGTTAAAACGGAATTCAAAGAAGGCACAAATGAGGTCAAATCAAATGAATTATAATTTAAAGGGTAAAGTTTTTGCTTTAGCAATTCAATCAATGCTAGTTGCTCTTTTTTTTCTTTCCTTGTTTATTTTTTTTCTTTCTTTTCAGTCTTCGATTTCTTCATCAACCATTAAGAAACTAATATGTAAAGCATGTAATCGTGATATAAATTAACACTACTCGGTGATAAAAAAAACAAAATTCGTGCTTTGGTGTAGTTTCCTAAAGAGGCTCAAAAACTTGGCGTGGCTAGAAAAAGATATAAAACTTCTTGAGGGAATTTAGATCGATTATGCTAAATTATTAGATTGTAAAGTTGTGGCTGCCATTCGAGCTATATTTCCTCCAGTTGAGTTGGAAAAAAAAATATTTATAACCACTTGCCATACTCCTTTGGTTGACTTAAAAACTTACGATATAAGTATAACAATAGGATACTCGTAAACATGCAAAACGTTTAGGACTTGGGAGTAATGTTGTAAGTCGTTAACTCGTAAGCAACGGGCTCAACTGAACGAAACGTTTAGGAGCCGAAAAATAATTTCAGAATCCTTTCGCTCAACAAAAAAAAAAGTGGCACAATCTTCAAGATACAATACAGTATATGGGCCACAATCCTAAAGGCCCGTAAATTTATTTTAATTATGAAAAACGTGATGGTGGCATTTGCATCTCAAGCTAATCGAAACTAAAACAATTTCCCTATTCTATAAGAAGAAAAAAGTAGATGTTGTACTTGAAAGGATGAACGATGACAAGTAGTAACCAAAACGGAGATTACCCAAAATATATACCCAAAATATTGGGCTTTTTATGTTTATAACTTTCTCTACGGCCTTTCTTTTTCGTATTATCATTAATAATTTACTTTGATTCCGAGCACTACCAAAAAATAAAAAATATCCGGTTTGATACAACATACATTATTCATTTGCGGTTATATGTATGTTAGCTTTGGCTAAAGACGACATCCGACACAGTCATTGTCAGCTTTATTCCCAAAATTATGTCTAACCTATACTTTTTTAAGTGGACGATTTGTTTAGCAGTGGTTGTAAATTTCATAGTTAACACGAGATGCTCTTTTTTGGTAAATTTTGTTTTTCCTCTTCTCGATAGCTACATGCATTGTATTAAGCTGTAGATTTTGCAAAATATTTTAATTAACAAGCTTTTATAAATATGATTCTTAACCAGGGAAAACTAGGGATATCTATATTTTTTTTACATCACAATTTTTTTTTAATTTATTCTCTTTTATTTGATAAAATTTATAAAAGTTACTAGTTTTAAGGGCTGTATTTAGGAAAGGCACAGCCCTATAGTTAAGTATGCAAAACGCGATTTGTAGTCACTAGACGAATTCTATTTTTGGTGACAGACTTATTAATAATATGCAATGTAATAAATATGATAACGATAGTCCACTATCTCTATCTGTATCACAAAGCAATGGATGATGGATCACACTAACCTTGCTTTATCGAATAAACTATAAAGGGTTCTTTATGAACTACACTTCGGTTCTTTATGAACTACTTCGGCCCGAAGCATCCTGCGTTTCATTTTTTGAGTAAAAAGGAGCCAAAAAGAGCAAACCAAATAAGCTAAAATAAATAAAGTGAGGCACTAGTACGACATTATACGGCGTAAAATACCCGATTTAATATCCATTAAATTATATACTCCTTAATCCTGCCTTCGAATCTTAGACTATATTTCAAAAATTTAAGCTATATTAAAACAATTTCTCATTTATGGTATCCGTTTAAATAGTCTACTTTTCATATATGCATACATTTTAAATATTGTAATACATTTCGAAGCCAAACTTGAAAGTTTTAAACTAGTTGACAGAAGCATTCATTTTACGGCAATCAACAATGTTATTTACAAACTATAATCACTGTTTGATTCCTTCAGCGAATCTTCCTTCATGATAAATCGTGAACAGTCTAATCTAGACCACAGATTCGACACGAGTCAGATGATGACGGAACATTGTGGGCATGTGTTCCACGTGCCTTTTTGCCAACTAATAATTCAAAACAAACACTGACTTTGGGGGCAAAAAAATAGTGGCTGGTTAGATGAATTCTTTCTTTTTCTGTTTTCTTTGACTAAAGAAAACATAAGGTGATACATGGTGAGATTAATTATCATCGTTTTGATACATTTCATACAGAACAGAAATCTCCTAAATATCTTAGTAATTAATGATGATATCTTTATAATTAGACGTTTTAGAAATTTGGCAAGAAAGTCACATTAAATTGTGAATCGTATTTTGTAAAAGTAGAACAGCATTTTGAAGAAACAAAACATATATAAAACCATAAAGACGTTTGGTACATCGCTATAAAGCGTCGCACCATCGAAGTTGTTCAAAAAAGAAAAGTAACCAACAAAAGACAAAAACAAAAAAGTCTGAGTAAAAAAAATAAAAAATCTAAGTCTAAGTTATTCTTTTTTTTTTATTCTGCACATTCAAACTAAACTTTACAAATCGACTTCACCAGAAATTTACTTCTGGATGTAGTTAAAAACATTTAATTCAGATGTATTATTATTCCTTTACTATCTCTTCCAAAAGTAGATTGTTTATATCTCTGTTTAAAAAAAAAACCATTTTACCCTTTGTTTGACTTCAATCTAGATACATATATCCACTTTAATTATTTCTTTAAACTATATCATTTCCTTGATCTCGAGCAGTAATTCTCTTCTCAAACCGGGAATTATATCGATCATCGTAAAATAATACGATATACATCATAACCACATTGAAATCTTTGACCTCGCCTAGAAGTCACACTTATCGAGTACTAGAATCAACGTCTTGTTGACCAAAGAAGCACAACATACTTGAGTTGACTTATAGCCTATTATAATCAACGTTTTGTTGACCAAAGAAGCACAAAATACTTGTGTTGACTTTTTGTTTTAAATTTTGGACGTTTTGTTTCTACACTGTGCCACTGTGGTCGACCATA